TAATAATATTTAGTTACTATCTCTGGCTGGTAGAACTTCAGTTCTTATGTCAATTTACTGGCCATAGCTCTAGGATGGCTTTTTATAAGAATCAGGATTTCTTGACGTACTAGAGGATAGTAAAAACAAAAACAAAACACTAAAACCCAAAAAATGTGGTTAACAAAAATTTGTGATGGAATTTCACATGTCCTGTGATTTCTTCCCCTGTTGGCTGTTTCACTTAAGGTTCCAGGTTCTAGGATGAAGAAATGGATTCTTTTCATGTTATTGAAAACTCTTAGGAAAAAGGGGAACTGCTTCCTGACTTCTAATTTAAATTCTTATGTATATTAACTGTAATTCCCCAAAAGTGCTGTTTTGTAAAACACATATTATGTAGTTACCCCCAAAGAGAAACAAGAATGGAAATCCTTAGAGGGAAAAGAGCAGCATATGACTGAGGTTTAAGTTCTGGTTTGATGTATAAACTAAACTTAGTGTGGTGCTAGAAAAGGAATGTGTTTGCCTGTAGTTTATATTTATCTATGAGTAAATATACATATATACATATATATATATACACAAACAGAGTATATACACAAACAGAGGATGTTAAGGGACCAACTATTTTACATGCTATATAATAGAATTTGTTTCATAAGCAAGTTAAAATTTAAAATTGATCAACTTAAATGCCAAAAGCCTTAAGGCTTTAATTATATTTAGGAGGTTAATTAACATTCTATTCTTGGCCTAGGAAAACTAGCCCTTCATCATTTTCACTTGTTCAACAAATATTTATTGAGTACTTGCTATGGCAAGATGGCGTTCTTGGTTCTGGAGACACAGCAACCAAACAAAATAGACACAAATTCTTGCCCTTTACATTCCAGAGCGAGTGTACATTCTAGACAGGCACACAATGAACAAACTGATAATTAAAATACATAGAATGTCAGGTGGTAATTAGTAAAAGTAAAGCAGGAATGGGGAGGTAGGGAGGGTGAATTGCAGTTTTAAGTAGAATGACCAGGGTAGGGTTCAAAGAGAGGTGACATCTGGATAAGACCTGAAGGAAGTAAGAGAGTGGATCGTGCAGGCGTTGGTGCAGAGGACCTTTCTGTGAAGAAGAACTAGCAAATGCAAGGCCACTGAGTGGCAGGGGCAGGACTGCCATGTTTGAAGGACAGAGAGGAGACCAGTGCAGCTTGAGTGCCCTGAAGACAGAAGGCAAGGCTACTGTAATCCGGGTAATGGTTTGGGCCAGGGTAGTAGCAGTGGAAGTGATGACAAGTGGCTGGTTTAGGGGTTAGAGTCTGGAGATGTTCTGAAAATAGAGCTGACAGAATTTGCTGATGGATTGGATGTGGGGTTTGTGAGAGGGAGGGAGGAATCAAGGAAGAATTTAAAGTTTTTGACCTGAGCAACTGGAAGGATTGAAGTTGCCCTTAATTGAGATGGGGAAGACTGCAGGAAGGAAAGGTCTGGGGGAAAGAAAAGAAGGTTGGAATTGGACATGTTCATCTTGAGAGCATATCGTATGTCTGAATGGAAACACTGAGTTTGTAGTTGAATATGTATGTCTGGCATTCAGAGGAGAGCACCAGGCTGGCAATTTAAAGTTGATAATTGTTGGAACACAGGAGGCATTAAAAATGAGCTTTTCTTTTTTTAACAATAAGATCCTTTCAGAAATTTCTAACTACTTTGTAACTGCATGACTTAACCTGGTGACAAAAGCAGTTATTAAAAACACTACCTTTTCCAAAAAAAGAATAAATAAATAAATAAAATAGAATAAAAGCAACAAGACTTCCTGAGATCATTAAGGGAGTGAGTGCGGATAGAAAAGAGAAGAGATCTGAAGACCAAGCCTGAAATACTCTGAAACTACCCTATAAAAAGTCTACAGTAGAGGTTGAGGCACTGAAGCATTACCAGCAAAGGTTAGGAAGGAGAATGGCCAGTGTGGGAGGAGGAAAATCAGGAGAAAACGGTGTTCTGGAGGCCATGGGAAGGAAATACTTCAAGTGGGAATGAGTGATCGACAGTGAAATATGCTCCTAACAGATTTAAGATGAAAAGGGAGAATTGTCTATTGGGTTTAGCGTAGTGCAGGTCATTAATAAATCTTAGCAAGAGCAATTCTGATGGAGTGATGGGGACAGTCAGTCTACTTGGAGTGCATTCATTTAACCTGTTTGAAACAGAAATAGAAGGTATCTAATCTATTTGGGAATGTCTGAGATAAATAAAACAGTCGGGAATATTCTATGTTCAAAAGACCTAAAACAGGCTTTCAGATATTGAAACAAAAAATAACAATGGACATTTATTCAGCACCTACTTGTGCCAGGTACTATGCAAAAGTGCTTTAGAGGCACGATTTTATCTTTCACAATAAATCTATGAATTAGGTGCTATTATCTTCATTTTATAAGTGAGGAAACTCAAGTTTGCCAAGTTTAAGGGGCTTTGCTAAAGTCATGTAACGAGTAAGTGATAGAGCTGAGGTGTTGGAAATATTTTCATAATACCCTTAAACTGACCAATGATTTTGTTTCTAAGTTATATCTATTGATTTTGGAAATTAACAACCTCATTCTTTAGAAACTATTATTCTTTCATTTTGTTCATTCCATTTATTTCATGTATCTTTATTTTCCCAATATCTAGCACTTCTGCAATATTGAAAATTTATAACCAGTTTCTTTGATAGTTTGATTTTTTTTTTTGATGCAGAGAATTGAATGTCAAAATGTTTCAATTTATAGAATTTGATTGAGGCGGCCAATCATGTTAAAATGTTATCAAAGACCTATATGGGAAAAGAATCTAAAAAAAGAGTGGATATGTGTATAAGTATAACTGATTCACTTTGCTGTACACCTGAAATTAACACAACATGGTAAATAACTATACTCCAATAAAAAACTTTAAAAAAATAAGTAAAACAAGCCAAAAAAATGTTATTGAAGAGAATGTAATTTTCTATTTTTTGTACAGAAGTTTTATTTTGAGGAACTTGATTAAATTTTTGGAAGTACATTCTTTTTTTTGATTGAAGGATAGTTGATATACAATATTGTATAAGCTACAGGTGTACAATATAAAGATTCACAATTTTAAAGGTTATATTCCATTTACAGTTATTATAAAATATTTCCTATATTACCTGTGTTGTACAATATATCCTTGTAGCTTATTTTACACCGAATAGTTTATACATTCTTAAAGTAATGATATGGAAAGCCACTGAGCATTGAACACGCTCATTTCATGTTCACGACCTCTCCATGAGGTGGACATTATTATTATCTACATTTTACACTCATGGAACCAGATGTTTGGGGAAGTCAAGTAAATTGCCCAAAGATACGACTTGTAAGTGGTGGAGTAAGGATTGACCCCACGTCCTCTGAAATTATAGTCCATGCTCTTTCCACTACAACATGCATGTAAATTTAGTTAATTCCAAAGCTTGGCTTGAAATATTATATCTTTCCTCATCTGTGTAAAATTGATTACCCTCATTTGATGCACCATTGTAAGTCTAACAGCTGGTGCAACGAGGGGTTGCAATTTTAGGAAGCATGTATACTTTTTTAAATTAAACATGTTTTCTCTGGGAAACATGTGTGTACATTGATTTTTTCCCCCTGTATTAAGAATGGCTCTACATAACTTCAGAGAGGGAAAAGCAGCGTTACTGTTTGCTTGGGTATGCTTTTCATAGTTGCTGATTCTTTTTGAAGATGCGGCTAGGATTGGTGTTGGTAGAGAACTAGGGTAAACACAGATTATGCCATGGATTCTGGAGCCTGCCATGAAATGGGCCTGGGAGTATGTCATTGTTTTTCTAGAATGACTCTTATAACTTCCCACTGCCCCTGAACCTCACATTTCATTCACAACAAAATGGATGGTTTCTTTCAACTAGCATGCCCTTCCCACTTCTGCTTTGAGACTCTTTAATCAAGTTTCCACTTTATGACCAGAGTGGTTTAATAAAAATGCAACTCTGACAACCCACTTGTATGCTTACAATTCTTCAGTGGCTCCCCGTTACATTTAAAGTAAAATACAACCCCCTTCCTAGAGCCCACAGGGCCTTACATGACCTGGCACTTACCCTACCCTCTAACCTCTTCTAGCACCATGTTCCCTCTGCTCATTAGGCTCCAGCCCAAGCCTTCTTGAAGCTCCTTCAAGTCTTTTCCTGACTCAAGATGCACACAGTAGTATTTCCTCCACCTAGAACATTCTGTCTTCCATTGTCAGTGTAATTGCTAACTCCTCAGAGACTTTCCCTGACTGCCCAATCTAAATTAGATACTCCTGTTATCATTTCTCTCATTACCTTGTGCTTTTCCTTCAATGTACTTATTATAATTTAGGATTGCATCTTATTTATATGTTTGTTTAATATCACCTTTCCCCCACCTGAGTACAAGCCATGAGGACAGTTTCTATACCTGTTTTTTCCCCACCACTGACTAGCTTATAGTAGATATTCAATAAACTTTCTTGAATAAATAAATGCCCTTTCAAAAGCTGTTTCTCAGCCTGGAATGCAACAAAAATAGCTAACATTTATTTTGCACTAAAATCCTAAGTACTGTGATAATATTACAAATCAGTTGATCCCAGAGCTGGAGCAAAGATGGGAGGTGCAACTAGGTAGCGTGTAATGATAAAGACATTCTATACATAGGATGCTAACTTTTTGTTCTTCTGCTGGATTTCACTGACTGTTTTAAAAGCAATTTATAGGGAAAGAGCACAGAAGTATTCGGTCAGAGATCATTGTGTATCCTATTATAATCTAGATATTCTTGTGTTACGGAGAATACAATGTAATTGAAAAGCTGAGATGTGTAAGAGGATCGATGTGGGTTTGTTTTAAAGAGATGAATGCTCATATCAACTTTTCAATCCTTTTGGTGGGGATAAGTAAGGATAAAACTCAACTATCTTTCATTTTCTCTAATTTGAAAATATTCTTTCTGCCCTCACAGCTGTTTGTGGTTGGGAGCAGAGAACGGATAAAGCTATCGTTTGAGCTCCCCCTGCTGGTCGTGAGTGATGCTTTTACCGGAAGACAGATGAAGAGAGGGCAAGCAGTATGGCTGAAAGGTGGGGATGAAACAACTTTACCGTTGCTGTTACACTCCCCATGGTAAAGGTAGGAAGCACACATGCTAATTTTAAAACAATTTTTAACAGCCATGTTGAGATATAATTTACATGCCATAAAGTTCACCCTCTTAAAATTTACAGTTCAATAGTTTTTTTGTTTGTTTGCTTTTGCGGTACGCGGGCCTCTCACTGTTGCGGCCTCTCCCCTCGCGGAGCACAGGCTCCGGACGCGCAGGCTCAGCGGCCGTGGCTCACGGGCCTAACCGCTCCATGGCTCACGGGCCTAACCGCTCCGCGGCACGTGGGACCTTCCTGGACTGGGGCACGAACCCGCATCCCCTGCATAGGGGGGTGGACTCTCAACCACTGCGCCACCTGGGAAGCCCTACAGTTCAATAGTTTTTAGTATATTTACAGAGCTGTGCAACCATCACCATAATCTAATTATAGAACATTTTCATCACCCTACAAATAAAACTTCTTCTATCCATTAGCTATAATTCCTTATTTCTCACTCCATTCTCCCCTGCCCTTAGCGCCTGGCAACCACTAACTAATCTTTCTGTCTCTGTCACTTACCTATTTTGGACATTTTGTGTAAATGGGATCATACAATATGTGGTCTTTTGTGATTGCCTTACTTGTTCACCCATATTGTAGCACGTACCAAAGTTTCATTGCTTTTTATTGGCAGATAGTCTCCCACCGTATAGATATACCACACTTCATTTATCTATTTATTAATTGCTGGACATTTGGATTATTGTTTCTATTTTTTTGGCATATGAACAATGCTGCTATGAACATTAGACATTAGTGTACACGTTTTTATGTGGACATGTGTTTTCAATTCTCTTGGGTGTATACTTGAAGAGAATTGTTGGGTCATATCTGTTTAACATTTTGAGGGACTGTCAAATTGTTTTCCAAAATGGGTGTACCTTTTTACCTTCTTACACAATGCTCTCTTGGATAGATTTTAAAAGTAGTACTTCAGGGCTTCCCTGGTGGCACAGCGATTGAGAGTCGGCCTGCCGATGCAGGGGACACGGGTTCGTACCCCGGTCAAGAAGGATCCCACATGTCGCGGAGCGGCTGGGCCCGTGGGCCATGGCCGCTGAGCCTGCGCGTCCGGAGCCTCTGCTCCGCAATAGGAGAGGCTGCGACAGTGAGAGGCCCGCGTACCGCTAAAAAAAAAGTAGTACTTCAGATAAAGATAACTTCCATTTAATAAATGCGCTTTATCAATTACACTTTCTTCTATTATACTTGTGTATTTTTGCATTGTCCCCATTTGCTTTTTTATTGCTGCTCCATCTATCTCTTCTTCATTAGTACTGTGAAATCTCTCTGGTTTTCTCCCCTGTAAAGATGGGTGATGAGATGATGTCCACATTCTTGCTCAGCTCAGAAATATTAGGTCAGGATGAAAAATGGAAGTGCTGTCTCGATTGCCTGCTTCCTCAGTGATATTCCTGGAAAACTTCTGGAGAAGCATATCACAATGGCTTAGACTGTTGATTCTGGAGTCAGACCATCTGGGTTTAGATTTTTGGTCTTACCACTTTCTCATTGCATAACCTTGGGCAAAGACTTAATTTTCTAACTCATGCATGAAATGGGAATACTAGCAGCAGTAATCTAATGGGATTGTTATGGAGACTGAGTGAGAAAAAACGCTTCACAGAGTGCCTGGTACATAGATTAGGAGCTCTCAGTAAATACTGGCTATTATTGAGTCTATCTTACTCTCAGCTCTCTGAACCTGGCACTGGAACTACAAATAGGTCTGTAGGTGTAGAGATTGCTCCTGGAATGGGTATTTCATTAATTTGGGGCTCCTGTAGAAAGCAGGAAGAGAACAGGATAAACAATCAAGACGGCTGCTATTTTATCAATGTCTTCAATCAGCAGAATCTTCAATCTATAGCTCTATCTTCAGATGCAAAGTGCTCAACCATGGCAAAAATTTTGTGGTATTGAAGGGCTGAAAGATAGTATGAAATAGAAAATTTGCACTTCTTGTTAATTTAACTCCTCTAAAACTTGTTTTGGGGGGCCATCTACCATATTTAAAATTTTATAAAAGCAATGAGCCCTGTCTACATAAAATACTAAGATGTGTATGCACCCTAAATTTGCATAAACTTTCCTGGTAGTCGTGTATTGAAGCACTGAAGGCCATAGGAGTCCATGTTAATAAGCGCTGCATTCGACATAAAAGATTATTTATTTATGTAGCTTCCTTTAGGCATTCTGAAATTCTTTTTTACTTTGAAAAAATTTTATTCCCATTCTTCTCAGAAAACCTGGAAAAATGCATGTAAATCCCGTGCTTACACCATTAAAATGGTCAATCCATTTCCCGCCCATACTTTAAAAAATTATACTCATGGGATTTAGGGAAAGATACTATGAATCTTAAGTTCTTGGTACAATAGAGACAAAAATGATACTCAGAGAAAAATGCATGGGTTGCATGTATGTAAAGATTTTTGAGCTCAACTCTGGGATACTAAGCCTGTGTTATGAGAGCCTTGAGCATTTTGTACATGAAGGTAAGAGAGTAGAATGGAGAATGTCATGTCTTTTCTCCACATTGGGATGGATGGGAAGGCAGCACTGAGTGGGACTCTGTGGTCCCTTCTGAGGTTTCCAGAGGCCTGGAGATCTGGGAATAGTCCAAAATCATCTCCCAGATCTTGGAGCTCTGTCAGCTTCTCAGAGACTATGAGGACAGAGGAGGTGGAGAGTGCCTAGTGCTTTGGGATTCGTCCCTTGATGGCTGAGAATTTCCCACTTTATCTCTAGAACTTGCAATATAGGGTTGAGATTAGATATGGAACGAAGCACTTTTTTCATCTTTACATAGACGCTGGTAGATGAAGATGGTACCTCAAGATTTCTCCTCTGTTCCACCCTCCTCTTGGACTGCCATTCTGTTACCTTCTCAATTCTTCTCTGCTTGCTTTTCTCCTGCCCAGTTCCCAGCCCTGTGTGCACAATGCAAGACTTACCCTTCCTATACCCAGGAGCTCTCGTTGGATCCACTGTCTAGTGTCTAGTGTCCGGAGATGTGGCCAAGTTTTCACTCTTCACTCTTTTACCCATAAATTTAAAATAAAACTCAATTCTAAATCAAGAAGCTGAATCTCCAATACGGGAGCTGATAGAAAAAGTTGTATGATCACTTATAAATTGGAATATTTTTGGCTAAATATCATACATTTACTCTCAGGAAATTGAAAGTTATAAACTGCAGCTCCAATCTGCTACTGTGAATAAGTTGATAACCAAAGGTTTTATTTTATTTTTTCATGAGGGCTCTTTGGACCTGTAATGCAAGAGGCATTTCAAAGTTTGGATCGCCCTTAAAAAAGAAAATGCCAAGTATGTTAAATTGTGCACTTAGCTTTCAGTGTGGAGGAACAAATCCCAGATTCAATGAACTAACACAAGTTTTCAGAGCTTGAAAGAGCATTTTCAATTAAGACACTGTACTTGCTGTGCGCTGGCCGATTCTTTCTCCTGGAAAGCTTTGTTTCTCTGTGAAACTGAAAATCCTGCCATTGATCTGTACTCACAAAACCCTGTTGATTTAAACAGGACTCCCAGAGGTGGAACAACAGCAAAACCAAGAGACTCAATTTACTGAGCTTGGGTTACAGGAAACATACTTAATAGCAGACAGTTCCTGTTTTCATTGTTTTCCATCTAAGTTCCTACAAAATCAGATTGTCTTTAAATAGATGCTGCTGCCATTGGGACAAGGTTCAGTTTCACATCCCTAAAGAAAGAAAGAGTTTTGTAAAAATTCACTCTACCTTGGCCTCCCATATAATGGGCTTAGGTCAAGCCAAAAGGATCAAGATGGATATCACGCTAAAACAGTGATAGAATAACGACACCAAAGATGTGAAACACATACTTTTTTAGACTCTTTAATGTAGCCCTCAATAACCAAGGAATGAGTGCTGGTGGAAGGAAGTGAAAAGGGATTTCATTTGAGAGCAACCTCTTTTTGTCTCTTTTAGAAGCATAATACAGGTTGGTTTTAAAGACTTCTAAGGAAGAAAAGCAGGGGAAGTAGTTTGAGAAAACCATCACTTAATGATTGATCTCATTGTTTGGAAAGATCCTGGGTTTGGCAGGATTCCTGGAGTTTTGCGTTGAAAGAGATGAACTTTGACCAAACAGTGATAAAGCTAATGCTCATAATGATTATGATGGCGATGGTGATGGCTCATATTTATTGAGCACATAGTATATGTCACAGGTCCTATGCTAAGCATTTTCTCTCTCTACAATCTTGTTTAATATAATAACAATTCATAATGCTTGGATTAAGGCTCTACCCTGGGTGGCCTCATAGTATGATAGTTAAGGGAAGGTACAGGGTTTTAGTTCTTCTCCCACCATGAAATAAGTGACCTCAAGTAAGTCATCTCTGAGTCTTTGTTTCTTAATCTGTACAATGGCACAGTAAGGCCTACCTCATTGGTTTTCAGAAGGATTAAATAACACAGGCCAGCAGTGGAGACAAACTGCCTTACAATTTGAATACAGTGAGATCCATGGGATACGGATTAAAGCACTGGGAGCAGCTTGCGGGAGGATTTTCTGCTCTCCCAAGACTTTGGGGATGCAGGACTCCTGGAGAAGCTGCCCTCTAAGTGGACCCCTGGGCTATGGATGGAAATAAGTCAGGAGAAGCTGAGGGAAGGGTGTGCTAGGTTGAAGGATTAGCATGTTTGTGGGGAATTGTCTGTTGCTGAGCAGCCTTGATGCAGGGAGGGGAAAGGCTGAGAGACAAGCCAGAGAGATAGGCTGACCCAGGTCCTGAAGGCTTTGGATGGCGTGCTAGGGAGTTCGAACTTTCTCCTGAGGTCAGAGGGTAGCCGTTGAAGAGTTTTAAATAGGAGATTGACATACTTAGATTTGCTTTTTTGTGAAGTTCATTCTCTTTGAGATTAAAGATACTGTCAGAACTTCCCTGGAGGTCCAGTGGTTAGGACTCCACGCTTCCAGTGCAGGAGGCATGGGTTT